AGATCTCAAAAGAATGCTCGTTGGGAAAAAATTTTCGTCGAATGAAGAGGTGATCGCCGAAACTGAGGCCTATTTTGAAGCAAAGGACAAATCGTACTACAAAAATGGTATCGAAAAGTTGGAGGATCGCTATAATCAGTGTATCACCCTTGAAGGGAATTATGTTGAATAAAAAAAACAAATTTTGCAAAAAAAATGTGTTTTACTATTTTAGGCCGGGGACTTTTCAATTGTTACTTTCATGTAACAGTTGACCATGTATTGGAAAGTAATCATTGGCACCCAATTGGGATTTCCCTAACTACGATATATCTTAGATTCATTTTATTGTAACCCAAGAAGACATTTTGAAGAGCAAGTGGGGGTAGCGTGCGTTCGTGACCAGTATAACTACTAGTAGTTTACAAAACCGTTTGGTGATATCTTTTCTTTTCGTGTATCAACATCGATATTTTCAACAATTTATTTATGTACTGGGTCAACAAATTCATCGCAAGAAAGACGTCGTGTACTTACACGTTTACGTGTCAGAAGATTTCGTCAAAAAATCGGGAGTTATCTTTAATACATGAAGAAGAAAATTTGAGGTGAGACAGTGTGTGAAAATTATGGAACTTCACAAAGTCATCGAAAAAGACAAAGAGGGTTTTTAACCTAATTAGTCTAGCAAACTTCGTCAGTTTTTCACTGAATCATCTACGACCCATGTTGAGCTATGTACAAATAATCACTGATTCATCAATAAGTTTAGCGCATGAACGGGGATCGATGGTCTAATCGCGGGCAGTCGACTAGGGAATACGTTAACAAAAAGACTCTAACCTCAAAAGGATAACCGGTAAGAAACTTTAAGTGTTGGTGGCACTACTTCCTGGTCAGGATGATTACAACGCTCTTATAAATATTAGTACTTTTGTTAACTTTTATGGTGTATTGATCCTCATTGAGAGGAAGATCCTTTTTATGAACATTTTTGTTCAATTTTCATTTGCGATGTTATCTATCTAAATTACCTGACAATTAACTCTAAACCCACTTGTAATTGTCATATTGTCTTTTTGAATTTCACATCTACTTGTATAATAAAGTAGTCTCGCGTTGATAATGCCCACGTGTGAAGTGGGCGAAACACGTGTCCGCTCATATAAAATTATTTGTGGTAATTAGGGGTGAGTATTCCTTTTAATTTTTTAATTAAAGAGTCAATCGGTGTTGCTTGCATCACCGAAACTAATTTGTCTGAAAAAATCAAACATTTCATCCCAAACTTCTCAACCTACAGAAGGGACCGTGAAAAGGGTGGTGCCGGTGGTGTAGCCATTCTTGTTAGGAACTCTTTAAGCATAGGCGTATCTCTTTAGCCACAAACTCCTTAGAAGCAATCGGCATCAAAGTGCAACTAACATCCGGCCCTTTTAGGATTATCTCTCTATACTCCCCCATTCGGACAGAGACCTTCCTGAACTCCCCCTTCTCTCCTCAGGCGTTCCAACTATCGTCGCAGGCAATTTCAACGCTAAACACGTCTCTTGGAGCAGTCGACAAACCAATAGTAAAGGCACCTTCCTTCTTGCCAAAGTTTTCGACTTCAACCTTACAGTTGAGGCACCCCCTGACCCCACATTTCTCCCAGCCTCCAGCAATCTGTTGCCTGACATCCTTGACATTTTCGTTACAAAAAATGTTACACTTTCCGCCGATCCGCCTATCGTCCTTGACGCACTAATCTCGGACCACCTTCCATCCCTAATTG